AGCAGCCAGAGTCCCCAACACCAGCACAAACACCAGCAGGAACCGCGTGTCCTCATACAGCACCTCTGAAACACACAGATGGAGGAGGCTGGTGTCGTTCTAGGCTGCATTGCACTTCGTTTCTTAATGCCAGGGGTGTCCAAACTCANTCCTGGAGGGTCGGTGCACAGCATAGTTTAGCTCCAACTTCCTTCAACACACCTGCATGGAAGTTTCTAGTATACCTAGAAAGAGCTTGATCAGCTGCTTCGGGTGTGTTTCATTGGGGTTGGAACTATAATTTGCAGGACAGGAGTTTGGACACCCCTGCTTTATGCCCTACACCTGCTTACTTCCCTTTGTCTCGTTCACTTAGATCAGGGGTGTCCAAACTCGGTCCTAGAGGGTCGGTGTACTGTTGAGTGTAGCTCCAACTTCCTTTAACACACCAACCAGGAGGTTTCTAAAAAGCCTAGTGAGAGCTTGATTAGCTAGCCCAGGTGCGTCTGATTGGGGTTGGAACTAAACTTGGGATATCGGCCCTCCAGGACCGAGTTTGGACACTCCTGCCCTACATGTACATCATGAATTACATCACACAAGTGTCCACTATGTCAGTGGAGTGCCCTAAAGACTTGAGCACTTGCTGCATTCCAGTCCACTTTAAGACACGCACTCGTGAACAAGTACCTGGATGCAGACTGTGCAAGCTGTCGGGGCGTCAGCTTCAACGCTTCACTTTGAATGGGTGACGTCAGGCGTTGCCGAACTGCATCTGTCGGTGCCGCTTCAGAGGCATTGCTCGCTGCAGAAGTTGGGACTTGCTCAACTTTTCAAGCAGGACGGAAGCGTCAGCCAATCAGATTGCTGTATGCAAATACACCAGCTCAGACTGTAGCCGATTCCTGGCTAATTTCATTGGCTGATGCTGCTATGGCGATTGCGTCAGCCCCAACTTCAGACACGCCCTCAGTCAAGCATTGATGCTGAAGCCCCGTGTGATCGGGGTGTTAGGAAGTTAGTGAGTGACAGGCATAAAGTATAGGACTGGAATGAGCCCTTGATAACGTTTCACAAGTGTCCACTACTAGCAGAGCACCTGGATGTGTTTAATACAGACCTCTGACGCTCAGCATCAGCCCCGTGTCTCTGGATCCGCCGTTCTCCTCCGTCACAGTGAGTCTGTAGTATCCAGAGTCCTGCAGCCGCAGTCGGGTCAGCGTCAGGGATCCGTTGAGGTGTGTCTGCACTCGACCCTCGTACATCTGAGAGACGTTTGCAGCTCCGCCGAGGATCCAGACGGCCACCGGGAGCTGCTGGAGCTGTGCAGAACTGAAGCTCCATCTGACCGTTGCAGACCCCGAGACGGACACCGAGAACAGAGCAGATCCCTGAACCGGTGCGGTGACCGAGGTCTGCTCCAGATGAACACTGACCGCCTGAGCTGAGGAAACAGAGGACACACTTGACCAGACACCGGAGGAACGACCAGACTGATCATGATATGGTGCTTTTCGCAGAGTTCTTGCACTTTTTCTAGTCTACTGTAAGTCTTTCCAGATGCATTTCAAGCTCTGATGTGTGGACAATTGCAGATTTACATGCAGTTGAAGTCAAAATGATGAGTAAGTGTAAATCTAATAGACGTCTAGTCCACAAGTAGACACTGGAGCAGCTTACAGATCCATCTGTTAAACACAGCCAGCGTTCAGTCTTGTGTTGTGATCTGCTTCTTATTACAGGTGAAATACTTTTACTGCCCAGTCCTGTACCTGCTCCTTTACAAACCAAACCCTGCGCTCAGACAACAGCATGACAGATGGGTTCACCTGCAGTGTCAGGAGAGAGAAAAATGCGTCCAGAACAGGTTTGTCCAGACCGGCTCCTCAGTGTTCAGTTCAGCTTCTCCTTTATTTAACTGAACTGTTTTAATCAGGGGTCACCAAACTTGTTCCTGGAGGTCCGGTGTCCTGCAGATTTGACCCTAATCAAACACACCTGAGCAAGATGATCAAGCTCTTACTAGGTATACTTGAAACACCCAGGCTGGTGTGTTGAGGCAAGTTGGAGATCAACCCTGCAGGTACACTGGACCTCCAGGAGCGAGATTGGTGACCCCGTATTTTAATGTTCAGATCATCTAGACTGCTTACATCAGGCATGACCAAACTCGGTCCTGGAGGGCCGGTGTCCTGCAAAGTTTAGTTCCAACCCCAATCAGACACACCTGGGCTATCTAATCAAGCTCTTACTAGGCTTTCTAGAAACATCCCTGCAGGTGTGTTGAGGCACGTCAGAGCTAAACTCTCCAGGACACCG